GTAACTAATTGGAGTATTTTAAATATAAAATCCACAAGGAAAACAATTCCTGTAGCTGGCTGTATACCAGCCAGCCTTAGTGTTTTTTTTTAACACCAAGATGTATAATCTTTTATAACTATATGTAATTTAAAGGGTTTTTACCCATGTATTTTTGGTGGCTCAGGCATTTTAACCTAGTAAGTATAGCCATTTTTGCTTTTTTAACCATAGTCAAAATTTCATAACCACGTTTGTTATAACTAAATGGTTTATACTTATTTTAGGCGATTTTAAATCTGATGATGGACTGTTTAGTCCGATTTTTTTTATGTAGCCCTTTTAAGGGTTTTTAAATAAATATACCCACTTACGAAGACTAACCTTTTTTTTATTTCAAATATCTAATATATCAATATAATCTAAAACATTTTCGGTCTTATTCAGAAATTTTATATTTTTAGTTTTTCTTGCTGTTATGTCAATATATTACGCTTCTTATCTCTTTACTTCTTTTGTTTGAATTCCTTGCTGCTTTTGTTCAGTTATTTGTATTCCTCCTCTGCTTGGCGGGTTCTGTACCCCTGTTGCGTCAGTAAATATGCTATGTTTTTTCTCCCTATTATAATACTCGTCAAAACAGTCATTCATTCTTGTTTTTCTTTGTTTATATTTTATGCCAAGTAATTCTTCAGCTGCTTCTTTTATAAAAAAAACACAGAAGTTAAAACACTTCACAAATGTGTATTTAGGTATAAAACAAACAAGTTAAAACTTTTTAAAAAAGTGTCGTCACATTTGAAGTTCTGGCAGAATGTTTTCGATCACTACGGATCATCTTCAGTGCCTAGTATTTGTTGCCAACTATATAAATATGGTGTCTATAAGACTTCCATGTTTGGGTTGGTAAAGTGTCACATTTTACATTAGATAATGTTGATACTGTAAAATTTACTTTAGGGACTACATGTCTCCTAAGCTCGAGTACTTGCACGTTGTCAGTTGAAGCGACGACACAGACCCCACAGACCCAAGGTTGATATTCTGCACCCTTTTCACTTTTCATTTATGTTTTCATGTTTTAGTCTGTTTTCTAGTTTGATGTTTACAATTTGTTTATAATCTCTGTTTTTGTTTGTATTTTGAAGTCGGTGATGTTTAGAAATTATTTCCTTTTTTAAACGTTTAAAATTCTGGCAATCTGCTGATTTACCTGTTGATTTATCTGTTGTCCTTTATTTTGCTGTGTTAACATTTGACATTTGAGAGAATTAAATTTTTCTCAGAACTTCGAATCTCAATAATTGCGTTTCGTTCTGTTTACTCCCGTAAACGCAATATATAGAATTAATTGTGGGAAGTATTATATTTGTAATAATATGATTCATGTCATGTATGACTTGATGTATTGTATAACTTCTTTCGAATAAATACGTTTTTAAAGTGTGCATGATAGATACGTGATTTCGGCTCCTATTGATCACTAACGACGCGTGATTTGTGATTTATAGTTTCATTTATTATTTACCAGACTAGAGTCTTCTACAACAAACTACTTGTTTGATGAAATCCTTATTTGGTTTTTAGAATCGTAGGTAATATAAAATTGTATTAATAACGGCATAAATAACAGTGAAGGAAATTAAATTACATCAAAAGAATAATTTATTCATTTACTCTGTCATTCAATATTAGGAAATTGTAGCATTTGCAATTCACTGATTTTTTGTGTATATTGGAATCCCCTCGTATATGTAATATATTGAAATCCCCTCATATATGTTTAAAAAATCGAAGAGTATTTTAATGAATTTCAGTTTCCTATTCGTACGTATTAAAACCCAAATATGTTTTCAATTTCTTCTTAAGTCGCCTCGGGAATATAATCGGCAATTTCTTTTAATGTTTTATTCGAAGTCGCCTTATAATTTTTGTACGTCGTAGAAATGGAATCTTTTACGGTTTAATCTTCGTTGTGTTTTGTTATTTCAGCGTTTATTTATTTTCAAGTTAAGTGAACGAATTCTTAAGAGAATTTCGTCATTCTTACTTGGGTCGTCGTAGTCTCAGGTATGGATCTAAATTCTTACTTGGATCGTCGTAGTCTCAGATATGGATCCAGAATTCTTACTTGGGTCGAGGTAGGCTCAGGTCCCCGACTTAGTATGGATCCAAATTCACCTTTGGATTTGTAGTTTTCCGTTTTTGGCCCCTCTTTGTGGAATTATGTAGCAGTGGAAAGTAAATTTTGAATTATGTCTAGTTACAGAGGAGGTAAAAAAAGTATTTAAGAGATTTGTGTCGCCTGCAGCAATTCTGATGTTGAAGTTAAAGTGCTTCTTCAATCTCGCTGTTCCTGCTTTGAAGCAGTTTGTTTGGTTCCAGTTAGTTCCAGTTATGGTTCCAGAACATTTAAAGTGTGATTTGGTGAAATAAGGTAAATTTTGTATCAAATTTTGAAGTAAAGACAGACTTTTTTTTAAATAATAATTGCTTACCTTCTTTAAAATTTAAAAGTAGTAATGTTAAATACAGTGAAACTTGGATAATTCGAATCTCAGGGGACCGTTAAAAAAAATTCGAATTATCCAAAAATTCGAATTAAAAATATATCTACAAAAAAAAAAACAGTGATACCTACAAAAGCATCTGCAAACGATAAAAATCAACTTTTGCAGATGTTTTCGTTCCTATTTATGCCCGAATTTTGTCAACCGAAAAAAATGGGCTAACAAAATTCGGCCAAGAATACTAATTAACACATTTCTAAGCTATAAAAATGGTCAATTATTGTCCTTATGGCAGGTCATAAGGACAGTAAGACTTTTTTGTCTAATTTCATCAGCCATTTCTCAAAAAGATCCCTGCCATCCAAGCTGTTGCGCTGCTTACATATTCCACTGGTTTTAACTTGACATTCTTAAAACAATGCGGATGAGCTGACTAGACAATCATCATTAGAGGCAGTCTTTCCTATCCGTCCATGTTTGTACCCGTTAAGGGAGTGAGTCTTTCTTTGTTTAGTTTTCCTCCGTGACGTTTTTTATTTTTAAATGCCAGTGTTTTGGCAAGGGTGCATTTAAAAAAGACCTTTCTCGTCAATATTGAATATATCTCTTTCATCTATATCCTGAATCATCTTCTCCGATTTTTTCTATTCGTTGGCTTCTTGCTGATTAATAGCCCCACTTTCTCCACAAATGGGTTTGAATGAAATTTTATTGCGTTTTTTGAAGACGTGTAGCCACCCTGTACTTACCTTAAAAATGTTTTTCCTTATTTCAACAACAAATTGTTCAGATTTGCTTCTTATAAGGGGACCACTTACGGGAATCTCCTTATCTCTGGCTTGTTCGAACCATTTTAAAACACATTTGGATTTTCTGGCTCCCTTAACCTTTTTCGTTCATTACCGCACCCACTTTCACTCTTGAGATTTTTCCCCTTATTCTTCAAGTAGTTATACCTACTCGAAGAAGTAGGTGTGAATTATCATGTGTTAGGAGGTATTCCAAATTCTTTGGCAGTCTCAGATTTTTTCTTCGTCCCATTTTCTACTTCTTTAATTGCCGCTATTTTTCCGATACCGTCAAAGATTTGTATGTTCGAAGTTTACTGAAGGGGGGTGCCAGGTGGGGAGAATTTAGGTGCCAGTATGGGTACAATGGTCTTGAATGTCTTGACACAAGTGGCGCGTGATGATAGGAAATAATACTATCTCTTCTCGCAAAAATTTCCAACACGAAATTGGCATTTTAGCTTGTAGAGAAGTTCGAATGATCCAAAATATAATTCGAATTATTCACGACTTTTTACTATTACTTATAAAGGAAATGCTAGGGATCTGAATAAAAATTCGAATTAAAGAAGATTTCGAATTAGAGAAGTTCGAATTAAGCAGGTTCCACTGTATTGTAAATTTTGGGTTTTGAGTTTAACTGTCAATTTATTTGTTCATAGATTTAAACTTTAATATTAACATAAGACAGCTCGCTTTATTATTTTGATTTTATTTGGCTTGTTTTAAAAAAAAAGGGATAACCTCCATTTAATTTTGTAAGTTTTGTAGTAGCAGAGTTTGTAAACGGCTAGGAGACATTTAAGTTTTTTTGTTATTCTTGTTCTCTGTAACTATTGATCTATTTGTAAATTTGTGTCATTATTTTTATAACTGTTCGTGGTAAGACACAATAAATGTTAAATTTTGTTTTTTTTTGTAAAAAATTTGATGTTGTTATAACTTTTTCCCTAGTTACAACTAGTGGTTGTACTAGGTATAATTAGGCACCTCAAAGTGGCGCCCTATATTAAATTACTTGAGGTGTTTCCTGTTTCTTTCTGCTTTGTTTGTTCCAAGAGATTCATGACCTTTTGTTTCATATTTTTGTAGTTGCCCCATTCCAACACCCTTTCCTTTTACTTATCCACGACCTTAGCTCTCCTAACAAACCCTGAGTGCCGTTCGCACAAGTAGCGATTAGTTTGCTTGCCTTATCTCTACCCCCTTAGTTTCAGTTCCCAATTTTCTACCCCTTCCATTAATGCCCCATGTGGTAAGCAAAATACATCGTTACAAAATAAGGATATTAAATCAGGAAAACAACCTTATACTCTATCCCATTATATGAATAGGTTATCAATAGGTTTGTTCTAGCAAACAGACAAACTAGTTAGAAACCGTCAGCAAACAGTTGGTCAGCGAGAGAAAATAATACAGTCACCAGTACTATACCCCTCTACTCGCACTGGTCCACTATTCGCTGATGGTTTCAAACCATTTGAAACTGATGCTAGAACAAACCTAATATATGACGAGAAAATTGCAGAAAGAGTATATATGCGAGGCTACTAAAATAAATAGACAATTTTTATTTTCTACTTTCATGTAGTAAACAAAATATTTTTTATTCCAAAAAAAGTTAAACGTGTTTTATTATTCAATAGAAAACTACTGCTAAGTATGTGTAAGAAAATAATTTAAATTCAAATTCTATCAGCCTATTCAAATACAAAATACTCACCCATCGGCAGTATATCGAACATCCACTGAATTATCATAATATGGAGAATCAACACTCCTTGAGAGGAATTCCGCCTCTCTAGAGATCCTGCGAAATGGATTCGCAGCGGAGTGTCTCTTCAACCGATTGGACGGCAACGTCCTGTAATACGCTTCAGCGGCGAATTGATTCGGTACCGTTCGACAGGGGATTTTTGGAAGGCCGTAGTCGACGGGGTAACCCTCAGAATCGATAATGCATCTGTAAACAATAACAAAGAAACTGTTTTAGTATGAAAATATTAGAAAGTTTTATTTTAATGCTAGAAAATATCACGAAGCAAATTTTTATAATTAAATACGGTCCATCCAGATACTTTGTAAAATTACCTACTATTTATATCCTTTTAAAGTTATTCAGTATTTTGGTTCGTTGCACAACAGTTACTAAACGCAAGGCCGATTTTCCTTTAGAATACAAACGATACTCTGCATAATTTACTATTTCTTCTTCTAGTACTCTATTCGATTATCAATAATTATTGGCGATCATTGAGTATCATAATTTTGTTTCTGCGGCCAGGACTTCTTCAGTCTCGTCTTTTTCTTGTGCCTAGGCTACTTCTTCTGGTAATTTTGTCTTGTACTATGTGCTGTAGATGGCTATAATATTGTAATGTAAACATAGCAAGGAAATAAAGAAAAAAATAACTATTATATATTCCAAATTGAATAAGGATCAAATAATTCGACATATTTGGCGTATGCATTTCAAATTAAACAAAGAATGAAAACTCGACCTAGTTTAAGTGTGTTGCACGAGTCTCAATATCAGGTCGCCACGATTGTTTAAAAGAAAAAAATCACGTTTAAAACATACACCTTCTTTGGAAAAATAACACCACCGCCTGACCTGGTTTAAGCACGATTACTCAGTCAGCAAAAAACTCGACCTTGGTACTGCGATCGCAAAACTGAGAATACGGGCTCATAAAAAATGAACGAAGAGGGCCAGGAGAGTCAGTAAGAACGAGGCACCTGAGAGTGCTCGACGCCAAAAGCACGGGCGACCGTGACATACGCAGCCAAGTGAGCGCGCTATCGTAACTCGACAGAGTAGAGTACCGTATAAGTGCCGGTATCTGGTGTTTCTAAAATTCGTGATAGCGCGCGGTACCTCAACAAACTGATCCTGAATTCTAGTAGGACTGAAGGGCGTATTCATTAGCTAGGACCTAAATACGCAAAGGTAACTAAATCTATATACTAACCCAAGGAATATATAATAAACGTTGATAGTCCACCCTTTAATTTCTTGCTAAGGTCTCTTCTCGTCTCCCTTCGCGCCTCATCAAATCATTATTGGTTATAACTGATATCTTGTTATCTGAATTGTAGTATACAATCTATTTAATACATTGTAAACTCGAAATTTGGTTTTATTGTTTTTTCCGGCCGTTACAGGCAGAGACTAGAAGAGTACACATTTTTCGCTTATGTATTTCTCCGGCTTCTAAAGCAAGCCCATAGACCTAAATTTTTTACAGAACCTGAGACCAAGAAGTCCTTAATCCCCTTTTTCCCAAATCACCCTACTCTCCTGAAAACCCGCGAGGACAAAACCAGTCAGTTCAGACTAGTGGGACCAGTTGTAAGCCTTCCCTCCGCTCGCAGGTATAAGTATCCCTTGATAATTGTAGGCGCATCCAATGATTTGAGACAGGCGTCTTTTAAAATGAGGACAGCGGCATTTATTTAGAATGGTGACAGTAGGGTTCCTGCGAATATTATAATCGGTTCTCCAATTATTACAGTGATACCCCTCTTTTATTACAATATTTATTGTATTTCTTCTTCTACGTTTTTTTCTTAATTTTACGTAAAACTGTTTAATTAAAAAAAATCGACATTATTACCTTAAAGGTTCTGTTCTGAAGCTATTTCCTTGTGACATTTTAAATTAATTACTATTTAAATGGGAATAAGCCACAATTAAACTTTTGAACGATTTACGATTTACTTCGGAAATCGTTTTTCTTTTGAACGATTTCCGAAGTGGAAATTGAAATGTCAATAAACGTACTTTAACCTTTAATTGTGACTTATTCCCAGTTAAATAGTAATTAATCGAAAATATTCTGTCATTGCAAATGTATACAGACAGCAAATAGAAGATTAAATAAGGACAGAAAACTTAGAAGAAGACAAAGACATTATCTAACTATGGGCAAATATAGAAGATATTGTGTTATCTCTAAATCAATTGAAATATTTGGCAAAACTAAGTCAGAAAAAAGAAATCATTAGTTTGATCATGAGTGCGAAAAAAAATGCATCATATCAAAAAAACGTCGATGCAGGTTGTACACGGGGAAAAAAGAATAGTATAGTCTTAGAAGAGAGGAAATTTAAACCTTTTTGGTTGTGGTGGGTGGGGCCTAGGGGTTAATGGGGGTGAGTTCTCTTGCATGTCATTTTAATTCCACCTTACTATCCTAGAAAACTTTTTAAGCATTTTTTTGATCAGCTTTTGTTAGTGACGAATGTCAGCATTGTAAGTTTTAAAATTTTCACACTGTATATATCCCTTTGGATTTACGTCAGTAAAATGTGGCTATCTTCACGTCTTTTTACTTGATTTACTATTCACGCAAATGCTTGGAGTTTGATTTTTCACCAAAGAGAATTTTGTCGTGTTCTTAAAACCGTTATAATGAAATATCATTTTATTCAAACTAAAGTAATTACACATAAATACCATTTTTCAAAAACGTTGCACGTCAAAATTTATATAAAGTGACGTCACTTATATTTAAAATTTCCAGAACGTCAACCTAGAGTTCAAATTTTCCTAACACAGCTAATAATACTAAACCCATATGGAACTGCTTGATTTTTCATAGAGGTCAATATGGTATAATAATAAGAAAAATGCAATTATCATTTTAAATTTTAGAATTATATTGATTAAATAACCAAAAACATTTTTGTTATTATTAATAATATCTTCTTTGTCAATCATTTTCCAACCAATCCTGAATGTTTTTTCTTGCTTCCATCTTTCTCTATTTTGCGCCAATCTAATGCACTATTTGCCTGCCACTGCTCTTGTGTCATCTACCCATCTTTTTTAAGGTCTTCCCATGCTTCTTGTTGTCGTCCTTGGTCTCCATTCTAGAATTCTCCGTGTCCACCTGTGGTCATTATATCGGGCTAGGTGACCTGCCCAGCGCCATTTCATTTTTGTAATTTCTTCCACAATATCCCTAATCTTCTACGTCTTATCTCGGTGTTTCTAATCTTGTCTCTTAGTGACATTCCAAGCATGATTCATTTCATTGCGTTGTTTCTAATTTTTTGGCAGATTTTTTGGTAAGTGCTACTAGCTCCAAGCCGTAGGTACAAACTGGTAGTATGCATGTGGTATACACCTTTTTCTTAAAGTTTATAGTAATTGAGGTGTTTTTCAAGATATGTGCTAGTTTGCCGAAAGCGCCCCAAGCCAGTTGTGTTCTTCTTTTAATTTCAGTATCTTGATTAGGTTTTCCTAGTTTGATAATATGACCTAGATATACATAATATTCCACATTTTCTATGGTATGATTTTCTATTGTTATATTTGTCTGGTCTCGCCTCAGTATTTTTGTTTTGCTGTAGTTCATTTTTAAGCCTACCGCTCCTGAAACTGCATTTAATTGTTTTAACATATCATTTAGTTCTTGGATATTATCGGCTATTAAAACTATGTCATCTACGAATCTCAAGTGGTTTAAGTATGATCCGTCGACGTTGATACCCTTATTGTTCCATTCCAGTTTCTTAAAAATATCTTCAAGAGCAAGGGTAAATAGCTTGGAAGAGATGGTGTCTCCTTGTCTTACTCCCCGTTGTAGTCTTATGGGATTAGTTTTTGTGCTTTCGTTCAGCTTTATATGCATGGTGGCATTTTCATATATGTTTTAAATTATGTTAAAGTATCTTGAATCTATGCGTGCATTTTCTAGAGATTCAAGCACTGCCCATAATTCGATGGAATCGAATGCTTTATGGAAATCGACGAACGCCATATGAGTTGGAACATTAGACTCGGTGCATTGTTCTATCAGTGTTCTTACGGTGTGCAAGTGGTCTATGGTATTTTCTAAATCCAGCCTGCTCGATAGGTTGATAGAAATCGAGGTTATGTGTTAGGCGGTTGGTTATGATTTTAGTTAGTAATTTATACTGATGTGATAGCAAGGATATTGGTCGGTAATTCTCGATGTTTGCTCTGTTTCCTCTCTTGAATAGTAAAATGACCTCGGAGTTGTACCATTCTTGAGGAATCTTTCGTTCATCAATTACTTTATTAAATAAAACATTTAATACCTGTTCCATTTTTCTGTTCCCAATTTTCAACATTGCAACTGTAATCTTATCCTCTCCCGGACATTTATTCGTTTTAAGTTAATTTAGGGCCATTCTTATTTCATAGTCGGTTATGTCCGGTATTTCTTCTGAGCCGGTGTTAATTATTGTTCGTTGAGTACGTCGTTGTTGTGGTTGTGTATTTACCGAGTATAGTTTAGTGTAGAATTTTTCAATGGCCTCGCTTATTTCCTTTCTGTCTCTGACGGTGACGTTTTTCTCATTTTTTATTTCTATGATTTTTGTTGTGCCGCTTGAGTTTTTTGCTTTGAGTACTTTCATGTTGCAGTTATCTTGTATTATATTTTTTATTAGATTGTTATTATAGTTTCTATGATCGTTCCTGATTTCTTTCTTCACATTTTTGTTTAAACTTTTAAAGCTGTCCGAAGTTTGATCTGTTCTGTTTCGTCTTTTTTGGAGTAGTTTAATTGTATTAGGTTGGAGTTTAGAGATTAATAATATAAATTTTATTAAATAACTCTTTAGGTCTAATATTCCACAAACTAATGATTTTAATTAAATATATTAGACAATTGTACGCAACTGATATGGGAATACTTGAAATTTTAATGACAGTTAAGCGTGTGGCAAAATTGTATAAAGAGTTGCCTCTTTTTTAGAGTAAGAATTTGGTTTATGTATTGATTTCTTACACAATTTGATAATCATATCTTATATAATAATAAATTGTATTTTTAAATACATATTAAATTCAGATTAATAGCTTTAAAAACTAATTATTATTGTGTATTGTGATTGTGCTATTTCAAAACAACTATATAGTCTATAGAAAGCTGATAACCTGTCATATAAGATACATTATTTTGAACAAGAAATAGTGGCGGGACGTTTTTACTCTTAATGCTCTAAAAAAGATAAGTTTAAGATTACTAACTATTGTGATGTTTTGGCAATGCTGTGTAATTTTGACGTAGTAAATCTTAAATGACGTGCAATCATTTTTATATGAAAAATTCTATACTAATAAAAGTGTAGATGATAAACAAGTTCTATAGTCAATTTACCAAATTTTAAAACATACTAAAATCGTTAGAAGAAAAAAACTAGATTTTTTAAATATTAAAGAACTTAAATGTGTAGTGTTATTAAAAATAATATTACCAAATTATTCATAAACAGCACCGTTATTTATTAATAATAATTTTTTATAAATTTAGAAATAGAAAACGAGATATTCGTCTGCGTATCTGAGTAATATGTGCTTAGGTGTAAATAAGAAGGCAGATTTTTAATTTTTAATTTATTTTATTTTTTATTTAATTTCGTAAATTTTTATGTATGTGGTAATTCTTATGTTTTAATTCATTTATTTTTAAAACATATTTTTTAATCTCTAAAATGGTAAATGGTAAAAGTTGCTTAAAAGTTCATCTGAAATTTTACACCTATTAATGTTAAAGTTTACAATAGGTTACATAAGACATACCGTCCACCATCTAGGAATTCTGTGCTTTCCCGTAGCCTCGCAATTGGAATTTGAAGTGGTTGGGGAAATTCATTTGCATACATTTCCATTTTTTGATGATCTTCACCGTCTCCTTCCCTTCGGCAACCTGAAATCAGATCAATTTAAATATTGAGAACATACATTGTACAATATTTATTATTATTGAACTATAGGAAAGATTACAAACTGTAATTGACAAATTAGATTTATTTCAGTCACCAGTCTTTTAGAAATTTGCTTTATAATTTTTTTAAAGCCTTTAAAACACATATAACCCGACAAGCGAGAGCTGGCGGGTTGCGCGTAGAAGAAATTGAAAAGTGTTCACCGTTTAAGTCATGTACATCGTGTACATCGTGTATAACCGTTTAAGTACCTATACTATATACCTATAATCGCGATTAAGTACCTCTCCTATCTCTCTTAGAATAATTCCTTTTCTATTTTCGAGCAGGTGACCCGCCAGCTCTCGCTTGTCGGATTATACTTAAAATAAAAAATATATATGTTTATAAGAATTCAGAACAATATTTTAAGAAAAGTTTATTGCAAAAATAGACTTAAACATAGTGAGGGGATATCATGTCTTTTATTTAAAATTGTGGTATCGAAAAGATAGCTCGTAAGTCCCAGATTAATACAAATGGCACTATTTTTAACAAATCTGTACAATTTACCATATACGCAGATGTCATTAGCATTATAGCTCTTAAGAGTCTCTGACTCTTAAGAGCTATAATAAAAATTTTTTCATGCTACCTTTGTTTAAAGTCCTTAAAATTTGGGTTTTAATTTAACTTAAAGTACAATAGATAGCAGTATCAGCCGCTGTAAGGCTGACGACATTTTTGACACACTCCGTTCTTGTCTAGATCTTATCTCTGTCGTTGGTCTGGATGGTGTTTCTCTTCTACTTCTTTCTTTTTATGTACTGTTCGGATGTGATTGTGAACACTATTTTATCCCTCCTTATTTCGCGGCACCTTTACGATCATCTTTGTCATACTCACAGGGTTCATACATATTTCTCTGTACATTCTGTTTCTTTCCACTGTACATCTATTACAATTCATCATTGTGTGAGTAACAATGTCAAAATATTTGCAGTATAGGCATTTATCTGTATATGTCTTTCTGCATGAAGATTCGCCTCAAAACGGAAAATCTATTCAGTTCCTTAGGCTCGGAAATAGCAACATGGTCCACTGGGCAACATCTTCCGGTATGTTTCACTCTACTTGCTTCTTTCCACTGATCTTTTCCTTTCTTCTCTTTTTATATCTGTTGTTACATGCTCCATTTTCTTGTATAAATGTCTTTTTTCTACTGTGATACTCTTTCTAACCCGTAATAGTCCATAAGGTAGCCTCAAATACAGTCCTGTAGGCGCCTGGTACTCGCAATAGACTCGTTATGTCTACTCTTATCATAAGTTGAATATTAGAGAGAGAGAGAGAGAGAGAGAGAGAGTGAGAGAGAGAAAGAGAGAGAGAGAGAGAGAGAGAGATAGAGAGAGAAATTTATTATCTTTAAAATGAGTTTACATTTATAAAACACATCATGGTATAGTACAAATAAGGCACAAGATAAATTAAAATACTAAGTATCAAATTTCCATACAAAAATATATCAATTAGCGCAACTGTTCTCAAAAAATTCCCCTATAATACAATAAATCGGAATACAAAAATATTGCATTAAATACTTTCTTACCACTGTATATAAATGATTTGTTAATCAGAAAGCTGCCAAGAGATCGAAGAATTAATAAAGAAACACGACAGTCAAACGCTTCACAAAAAAATAAAAGATCTAGCTAAAATGACAAAACAAAGACTCCCTTGTAGATTAACAAACGACGAGAATGAAACGATATGGGAATTAAGCGATCTAAACAACGTATGGGGACATTACATAGAAGAACTATTCTCGGGCACACCACTAAACAACCTAATATATAAAAACCATGAAACAGTCCTCCTATATTAAAACAAGAAGTAGACAGAGCAATCAAAAACGCAAAAAATGGGAAAGCCTCTGGCCCCGATGACATACATACGGAAGTCATAAAGCTACTGGAAGAGAAACATTTAAATATAATCGTCAAATTATTTAATCAAATATATACAAGCGGTGAAATTTCACAAGACTGGTTAAAATCAGTCTTCATTCCCCTTCCAAAAACTAAGGGAGCAAAGAAGTGTGGTGATTTCAGACTTATTAGTTTAATGTCGCATATGTTAAAGTTATTTTTGAAAGTTATTCACCAACGCATTTATAAGAAATGTGAACAGGATATCAGTGATGAATAATTTGGCTTCCGAAATGGATTTGGGACAGGGAAGCATTAACCAGTTTTATTATACTGCTGCAAAAATGTCGAGACCAAAAAAAGGATCTCTTTTTATGTTTTATTGACTATCAAAAGGCCTTCGACAAAGTAAAACATGATAAGCTGATGGATTGCCTTCACAAAAAGGGACTAGACGAGAACGATTTTAAAATTATCCAAACGCTGTATTTTAACCAAACTGCAGCAGTTAGAACAGAAGCCGGTGACACAGAAATATTCAATATCAAGCGAGATGTACGACAGGGGTGTGTATTGTCACCACTACTTTTCAATATATATTCGGAAAAAATCTTTGCACGAGCACTAGAGCAATCAAGAGAAGGTGTTAAAATTAACGGCAGAGTTCTAAATAATGTACGATACGCCGACGACACGGTCCTAATTGCAGAGAGCGCACAGGATCTCCAGACACTCTTAGATCGCGTCAGCTCGATCAGAGAACAATACGGCCGCAGCATTAACGTCAAGAAAACAAAAACAATGATTGTCTCCAAAACATCCATTCATCCACCCATAACTTTAAACGTGACACTGGTAACATTATCGAAAATGTCGAGAAATTTCGATATCTAGGGTGCTGGATAACGAAAGATATAGATCCAGACATAGAAATAAAATCGCGAATTGAACAAGCAAGAAACGTCTTTTTAAAAATAAAACAAATGTTTACGTCCCAAACACTCAATCTCAAAATCCGATACCGAATGCTGAAATGTTACGTTTACAGCACCTTACTATATGGAATGGAGGCCTGGACCTTCAAAAACAACTCACTTATGGGTTTGGAAAGTTTTGAAATGTGGTTACTTCGAAGGATGCTGAAAGTCCACTGGACAGCGCATATGAGCAACGAGCAGGTCCTACACAAGATGGGTACCGACAGAGAACTCTTAAAAATAATGAAAACACGGAAAACCTCATATTTGGGACATATATACAGAAATGAGAAATACCAGCTACTGCAGCTTCTTATAGAGGGGAAGGTAGAAGGAAAACGTGGTCCTGGTAGACGGCAGGCGTCCTGGTTGAAGAACATTCGTGAGTGGACTGGTTTGGATTCTCAATCTTTAATAAGAAAAGCCAGGGACAGAAATGATTTTGCTGAGGTAATCGCCAACCTTCATTAAAGACGGCACCCAAAGAAGAAGATTTGTTAATTAATATAGAACAGAGAACTGGAAGTGGAATAACATAATTTAGACGAGTGTTAAAAGGGGAATCTGCCTGAGTATCCTCTTTATGTTTTTTTTTAAATTAAGATATTTGATCAAAAATAAAGATTAATAACAACCAGTTCTCCGATAATTTTAGGGCAAATAAGGGACTAAGGTAACGCTGCAGTCTACCTGCAACATGCCTGAAAAATATCTGAGTAAAGCACTGAAGGTGAAGCACTTGTGGACAATGAGGTAGTCATCGTAAAACACCAGAAAGATCTGCAATTTATAATAATTAGTATAAAAAGATGAGAGATTTTGTCAATGTTAGTTAAACAAAATACATGTGCATAAGAGAAATTGACATCGATTAACAGAGATAGAAAGAAATTAATGCACTGAAACAGAAATCTAGTCAAATATTAGCTAAATAGAAAAGATAAAATCCGCAAGGAAAATGAGTTGCAAAGAAAATGAATGGAAAAGTTATTTAATTAAAAAGACCTTTTCGGGCTACATCACAGAACGTTTTCGAACTAAAAAGTCTATTATCAGTATATTATTACCCGGTGTACATGTGTCAAGCCACTAAATTACTGAGTAAAAACCCTTAAAAGTTACAAAATTTATTATTTGTTACATTTTTGTTAAAAATTTAACTAGCTTTTGTTAAATATTTAACAGATACTCTGCATGGCAACATAAAACTATCAATAGAGGTTGCTGTTGACATTCAGAAAATGTCTGAGTGGGTTCTATATTGCAACATGGCAACAACTTTTTTTTCCTCCTCAACTTATTCAGTTAAAGTCTATAAAATGTAAACGCATATTAAAAATAGATCACTTGAGAAAGACACTATACAGAAACAGCTGCAGTGATCATAAATTACAATAAACTATGAAGTATAGTTTATTCGTCTTCCGGGTTTGGACCGTGTCATTTGTGAGTGACCCAAAAGTGGGTTCATCTCGACGTTTCACTACAATTGTATGTAGCTTCTTCAGGAGAACAAAAAAAAAAGAATTCAAAAGACAGGAAGATGGGTAGTTAGCAACGGTAACTCAGTTACTCAACGCAAACAGAGGCGAATACTAACGACCAAGATGGGCATTTGGTCACAGTAACTCAACTACTTAACGCAGCCAGAGGTGAAAACCAAATGCCAGGACAGGGATTCACGTCCAACGGCTCAGAATACTAACGCGTCGAGAGGCGGGGAGTGAATCCGACGATTACTCCGCTACCGCTCTATTTATAGTCGCGGTGATATATCGGGACGTATCGGCACACTCCGTGGCGCGAACGTCAAGAAGCGCGCGCTGGCCAATCATGTGGCTGCATCGTGGTAGGGGTACAGGACGGCGGCTCTAGACGGAGATTCCAGATGGGAGACAAGTAGTATCCTTCCTCTCGATTGATATTATGTGGATTTTTTCGGATCTCTCGAGATTCGCGGATTTTCCTGGAATAAAAGAAGGGGCTTTTAGAAATAATATGGGTTTTTTCGAACAATATGGAATGACCGGTTTCTTGGCAGTGTTCTGAAACTGCAGAATGGGAGAAAAGACCTGATCGAATGCATATTTGATGCTC